TAGGTATCCAGGGTGGGTTGGAAGTCCCGACTGGTGTGTTTGGCTCAGGAGGGCTCTCTGGCTGGCTCCACAGACGGGTCTGGTTTTAAAAAGTGCCAAGGAGCCACAGATTTACATGTTATTTGCGTTTCAGACTTCAATTCCAGGTATGTGGAATGAAATGAATGAATGAACAGTATTCAGCCTCCTGGTTAAGGCGTGGACTCCAGAATCCAGACCACACTGAGGATCCAATCACTGGCCCAGCTTGGATCAGGAGACACAGACACAGACAGAGACAGAACAAGCAGTCAAAGAGACAGAGAGAGTGTCAGAGAGACAAACACCATCGAGTCCTTTTTTACCAGGGAGTTTCCAAGTCAAATCAAGAAAGCAAAATCCACAGAATTTATTTTAAAATAAGTCAACTTTTAAAAACTAGGGAGAGAGTCACACATCACCCTTGACTTATCTCCACCTCTGCCCCTCCATCATCTACACCCAGCTTCAAACTGGACCATATGCCTATGAGTCTGCCTTCTTGATAAGGTCCATTGCTTGGTATCTGCCTGGCCTCTTACTTGAGTTAGACTCTAAGGTCTTTGAGGATGGGTGGCTTTTATTTCCACCAAATGGTCAAACAATTTCCACCAGATGGTCAAACCATCTCTTCACTCCACCCTCCAGGGCCCCCAAGCCCAGTGCCTAAACACAGGCTTATTAAACACCTAGCATAAGGGGCTCCCCAGAAGTATTAGATGAGGGAAATGCCCTCCAGGAACTTAGCTCTGGCTAATAGACAAGACACAGGCAGCATGTAAAACAGTCCATTTAAAGGACAAGGCAGACAGAAGGGGACCCACAATCCATAATGGATGTACAACATCACTGGAAAAAAAAAAAAACATAAAGAAAACTGTATATAATAGAAAGGTGTGTGGTTAGGGAAAAAATACTTTGATTAGGCCCCTTGCATAGAGACTGAAACCCCTGAAGGACATGCCAAACTGCTGAGGAAGGGGCTTTTGTTAAGGGCAGAGTGAAGCATTAGGTTTAGGGTCACAAAGGAGGTGCAGCCTCACTGCAGGCTGATGTGAGTGGACCTTCTACCCCAGACTCCTGCAATGTTGGTTAAGTAAATGTTTAGTCAGTTACCCCTACTCCTCCCTAGCAGGCCAGAGAGAAGCAGCTTGCACTCCTGGCCTGGAAAAAAAGCACCAAATCATTCACCTGCCTTCACTGGCAACACAGGTCTCAGTCCATTCTTGATGTAAAGGACAGATTACAATACATATGCCATGTGGAGTTGTATTACTTTCTAAGCACTGCAGATGTCCAGATAAGAGATTTTAATGTAATCAGGGAAGGCTTCAAGGAGGTGAGATTTGGGTGTGTGTGCGCTGTGTATTCGTGAAAGCAGTAAGAGTAAATGGGATGAGGGGTGCCCAGCAGGTTGAAGACTCTGGGCTCCTTGTGTGCCTCTCCCAGACAACTTTCCTTTCCCAGCACTAAAGTTCTGCGAAGGACGGAAGGACAATCTCCAGAAGTCGAGCAGTTGATGGTTACTCCTCAGTTTAGAATGGAGAAAAGTCAGCAGCTATGATCTGTTCCATGAGGAAAGACTGACCTGCGCCTTAACTCTAAGATCAAGCCAGTGTTAACGCTGGCCTTAAACTTGACTTTGAATCTCTACCTTGACCAATTTCTATTCCAAGCAGCATTATGACCCTCAACAACATTTCAGAATCTTAGACTTTGCCCAGACCCTGGACATCTGGTTCAACCACTCCCAACTGGAATTCTCCCCACCCTCTCCCTGACAGGCCAGAGAGGCAGCCTGCACTAATGTTTCCTCGAGGTTTATCTTGTAGCTAAAAGTCTCCTAGTTTCCCATTTCTCTCCCACAGGGGATGCACGTCTAAGTACTCTTCTCTTAGTGGTGACCAGCATAACCCCATTTACCCTTACGTTACATCACTCCCCACCTCCAGAGCTGGGAATAGGAATTATGGGCTCTTAAAAGACAGAAACTAGGATTCAGCACAGGTGAAATAAGGCCTGGGCTATTAGGAAAGCTGTTGGGTTGAGCCTTACTTGTCCCTTCCCAAATTTTAGGATGAATTTGAAGCTGTGGACAGATTGTTCCTGGGTAGGGAAATATGGCCACTTTGCCAGGAGCTCAGCATGTAGTCTGAGTCACCAACAGGGCCTGATAGCACTTCACGTCCTTTTCTGACTCTCTTGGGTATGTGAGCTCCCAGGATGAAAGCATCATATTCCACCCAACCCCAACCCCCCTGGCCCATCCAGGTGGAGCAAGGGAGAAGACAAAGGCCGAGTGTCAGTTGTCTCTTACTCTGGGTTGACATATTTGAGAGCTGGAGGGATGGCACAGGAGAAGGACCAGAAGCTGAAACGTTAAAAACATTGGGGCTCTGAAGTGAACCCTCCCTCTCTACCCACTAGAGCCTTTTATGCGCCACGTAGAACCAGGTGGCGATGGACAGACTATGGAATATGGCTGCTGGCAGTGCTTTCCCAGGCAACCTGTTTCTATCCCAGAACACTAAAACTTTGGGACTAATCTTGCTAGGGGCACTGGGTAGAAGAGGCTAGCACAATTACAAGGGCAAAATAAGAGAGAAGTTGATACCACAGAGAAATATGTAGCACCTCATATACAGAGGAGTCAGTTTACACAAAAAGTCTCCAGGCCAGATGAGGGAAAAGCGCTTACATTCAACCCTAAACAGGGCTCCCGGGAGCAACGGTGGGTCCCAGGTGACAAATGGGATGGAACTAGCCTCTGTGCCTCGCACCATGTATCCTCAAATGGGCAGGAATGGTCTGATTTTCTCTGTACAGGGTCCAGGAGTGATTGTTGAGACTGTGGTTTCTGCTGAAGGCTTCATATCTGGCACCTAGAGCTTATCATCCATCAAGTGTTCCTTTTTTTAGGGGAGACAGGTAATTATGAGCACTGGACACAGAGGAGAGGGGAAGATCGGAGAAAAGGAAAGCAATAGGCTTTAGTTTAAAGCAGGTTAAACAAGACATTGGCAACATGCCCTTGGCCATGGAATACAGGAACGTCCTATTTTTTCCCCCCTGTCATCAAGGTCCGCCCTTAAATGAAGAAGAAAGTTTCCAGATGCTAGTCCTGCTCTTCTTGGGCAGCTCTCTGGAAAGAATGGCCCCCACTATGTTAAGTCTACTTGGTTCCCACCCTGGACCACAACCTGTGTCTCAGCCTGGCCCACTCATGAAGGGCACTCAGGATCACTAACTCCACCTTGTACAAAACTGCACTGGTCAGAAAGTGGGGCCAAATTCAGACAGGCTTAACAATTCCTTGTATATTTTTCAAAGTGCTTTTGTTGCATGTTTCATTTTCTGCTGTACATGGCAATAAATATTTGTTGCTTTGGTCTGTACAAAAAGTCTGTGAGGAAGGTAAGACAGATGTTATCTAAATGGACAAACAATAAATACAGAGAAGTATCTTGTTTTGAGTCCCCCAGACAATAGCAAGAGTGCCTGAAAAACTCAGGTCTTTTTGATTCATGGTCCAAAATCTATACCATATTGTCACCTTTCAAGTTGTCACTTAAATACATTAAGTACCAAGAATCAATGTTCAGGAGTCCCACAATGAGCCTGCAGGCCATAGCTCTCTAAACGAGAATGTGAAAGTCCCAGGAACTCATATATAGAAAGCTATTTATTTCCTATAGAAAACACCAAAAAACCCCAAAACAAAACAAAACAAAACAAAACAAAACAGGCAAGAAATAAAGAAGAAAAAAAAAGAAAACAAACAAAACAAAAGGTGGTCTTCCCCCTAAAGGCAGGCAGTATGAAAAAGGTAGGACATCTAGCTGCTGGAGTGGAAAACAGTAACATTCAGTTAACAATGGAATATTTAAAAAAAATAGTTTTCTTTTCAAATTGTAACCTGTGGTAACACATAGAAAAATGTACTAAACAAGCTTGATATAAAACAGAGTAAAGTTTTCAAATAAGCCCAGGGAGAAAGCACAATGTTGGAAAGGATGAGGTACATGGGAAGAGAAGAAAAGATTTCGTACAAAACTACCTATTACAATACAGAAAAAAGTATAAAATGTTCCTATTTTGGAACTTAAGTACAAAATGACACTGGCATTGGATCATTTCACTATCTAGCTTGAGGAGCGCTCAGAGGGTGGGGAGATGCCACATAGAACAAAAGGAATAGCAGTTTTTCATTCTCAGGTTGATCAGTACAAATTCCACCCGTTTTCCAGTTGAAAATCTCGCCTCCCTCTGTAACCTCTACCCCTAAGCCAAATTCATCCAGGAATCAAAATATTCTGTTAGGAAGTCCACAAACACCCTACACATAGGGGCTGGGATCTGTGCGTGCTGGAGCTAAATTTGGAAAATGGTAATAAACCTACAGGCTAAAATGGTGAACACATTCAGCCTTCAAAAAAAAAAAAACAAAAACATATCCCTGTGAAATATATATATATATTAAATTCTCTGTGGTTAGAAACATATTTAAACTAGCTAGCCACAGACCAAACTAGACCTGCATTCATCCAATGCTGGAATTTTATGCTAAAGACTGAGGTCCTTCTTCTTGGTCAGAAGTAGGCAGCAGTAAAAGTGGTGCCTTGTCGCTCCACTAAACCACTCCCTGGGTGGGTCTTCCCCATATCATGTGTTGTGAGCACATGCAAGCCTCTGCTTTTAAGGAAAGGACTGCCTGGGACTTTGGGGTCCATCCAGGGCTCACGTGTTGTGCCTCAGGAGAGGAAGAAGCTACAGATGATAAAACAGCCTTGTACAGAAGCAGACGGATTTCACAAAGGGGCATATAAATAGGAAAAGTCCTGGAGGAGGGAATTACGCAGGTGCCCCAAAGTCCAGTTTACAGTCACTTTCCCAGTGACATATCTTGAAAATCCTGTGTTTATGTATGTGTGCGTGTATATGCTGGTGGTTTTCATCCCTACCTTTTTGCCCACGTCCTTTCCTACCTCTTAGTAAGGCCTAACAACAAGAGTTTACATGAAATCAAGAGTCTTTCCAAGCTTCTCTCAGTCCCCTAATTAGAGACTGAGTGAGGCTGGAGCCCTTTGAAAATAAGATGGCAGAACTGAAGAAGTGAAATGCAGTCTCTCTCTTCAGCTTAGGGATGTCCCTCACCCCTTTCACAGCACCAAAGTTTCTTTGCAAAAATAGTATCTGAGATACAAAAGGAAAGGCAGATGTGCTTGTGAGTGCATCTCTCCAGGGCCTGGTCCAGGATCAAGGACTTTATAAGAACAGAGGGTTGGGAGCAGCTGTTTCCAAGGTCTCTGGCCGTAGACAACAAAGAGCTGGTCTCCCACAAGTCCACGTCTGCTAATTGAGACAGTCTTCACAAGAGCTTTCGGTGGAGGATTTCCCAGACCATCCGCTTCCGGAAGTAGGGCATGTGTTGCTGTAGGGACACAGAGACACCCTTATTTTCATTTCTTGTATGCAGACCTAACACTCCTTTCCATCTTGAGGTTTTTAACTAAAATAATCTCAGCTGAATTTCTGATCTTTCAAATGGCTCATTCTTTATCACATGTGATTTTTTTCTTTCTATTGCTTTTTTCTATTACTATCTTTATTGCTATTTTCCATTGTTGTAACCTTAGAAGGTTTGTTGGGCATTGCCAGGAGTCCCCAGGGTACACCCAAATGTCTCCAAGAATTTTAAGAACGGTGTCTATCAAGTCCGCTATGTTAAACTTTTAAGAGGATATGAGATCCGAGCTTGAAAATCAAAAACTCACTTTTTACAGGAGATGTTATAGGAACTTCAAGAGTGAGCTCCACCCAAGGGCTATGGTGGAAAAATCTTGTAGAGCCATTGATTTAAACAGAAGTAAAGAGTTAAGTGGAGGACACAGAATAACCCCTAATCTCTAGTCTCAATCCACTTTGGTCTCCGAAGGACCAGGTGGACAGAAATAAACAATCACAAACTATAAGAAGACTGACCAGCTGCATCACGTGAGGGGCAGGGGAAGAGGGCCGCATAACAAATTACACTAGATCAAGGTGTGGCCTGTTCCAAAACTTAACTGCTACCCAAATAAAGGGAAACTATAGGAAACTTGCTCTGGTCCCAGTTCTCTGCTTCTTACAGGATTTGAGGTAGGTGGGAGAGATGGGCGGAGAAGAAGGCCCTACCCATACATCACAATATGTGATATACGGCAACCCAGGATGTGGCCTATCACTACCCTTTCTCTTGTGAGGCGGCACAGGCAGTAACCACCCCTGTTAGGAGCCACAAGCTGAAGCAGAGCCCCCTAAGTGGAGCAAGTGGAGGGAAAAACATCTATCTGGCAGCCTGGAGACGGGGTGGTCATAGAGCTCCCTCCTGAAGGCTTGGCTCACCTGTGTGAAGTTGATTGGTCTGTCTTTGGTAATGCAGTCAGCATATTTGCAGGCAAACATGCCACAGTCGCTTCCATTCATCTGCTGTGGAATTTCCTGAAAGGCCAAAAACAATAAAAAAAAGTGACATCTTTCCAAGCTTCCTTCTTTCTTATTTGATTATAAATAAGAGCCAAAGGATATAAATTTTACAGGTTTCCCTGAATTTTGAAGAGATGACCCTGGTCCCCCACTCAGAACAACAGAGGCTCAGAGAAAAAGATTCAGCATCTCAGTCCAGCCTGTGTATTTCATATTAATCACACAGGAGACTATCTTAGATTTCCATGACACCCAAGGGTGTAAAAGCTGGCCCCTCCCACAAGGGCCAAACAATCTGCAAACATTTCCCACAGATGAAAGTTTAGCAAAATAGCTGGGCATTTATAAAACCTAGTTCTTCATAAGAAACACATTACTAGTTTCCCACAGATAGCTTACTCTATCTTCCCCAAGGAACCAAACGACCAAGTTGAGGTGAGGCTAGACACTAACACAGAAGGTCTCTGGGGACCAAGCAGTAAAATCCTTTTCTTTCTAATACCCTAGTCTCAGGATTTCCATCTCATCAAGAAGAAATGTACCTGGCTTTTCTTGCTGAAGAGTTGCCAGCCATTGGTGTCAAACTCTTTCCTTTTCTTGTCAATGCTTTCTTGCTTCAGGTATTGCCTAAAGGTATTGGGAGAGAATGAGATGAGCTTGGGGAGCAGTGATGACAGCTGCCACTGCAAGAATGGGGCTGACAATCCTTAGGAAGCGTTTTCTTCTGCGCGTCTAAGGAAAACAGTATATACTACTGGGCAGGGAATCTTTGGACTGCTAGGCTTCCTTTGGAGGTCCCACAATTCAGGCCTGCCCTGTCAACCCAAGAGAAGCATGACATCTGCCTTTGATACCCAGGCTCTTTCTGCCTGCTGTCCGTCCTGAGGAACAAGTTCTGATTCTTCTCCTTGGTTTACATGGGCCTCTACAGAACTCAATCTAATGGAAGAAAAATGTTTCTCCAGCAATACTGAGGTATTTATTTATTTATAGTCTTGATTCTCCTGTGTGAAAATTCAATCCAAATCAACAATTTGTTGAGTGCATACCTCATACACAGCACTCTTCTTAAGTGCAAACTGCTCACCATTCTGGAACCCAGCCCCCTCCTGGCTGCCAAAATGGTACAGTGAGGAATAGACATTTTGGAAAGAGAAACAGATGGGATATAAAGAGATTTGCATTCTGGTTCCCAGTTGAGCCACTAACTAGTAGGACCTGAGCAAATGTAAGTCACCTCTGTGGGTCTTGGTTTCTTCATCTGAAAATTTAGCAGGTTGGAGTAGATGATTTCTAAGTAGTTTCTATATCTATATGTATATATCCACTCTATATTTAGAGCAGTGGGACAGTAATTATCCCCATTAGGGCGTATTTTTGGTATTATATTATTATTAAACTTCACTTACTTAGATGGAAAATACCCATTCTTACTCAAGATAAAGATTTCCTTTATTAATCACTACATTGAAGGGATCAGAGAACTGAGTTCAATAGCTGGAAAAACATAACATATACCCAACATCAAACTCTTTGTCCTCAACTCCCTACTTACAAGAGGATCCTGCAGGCTTCATTGTTTATCCCACCCATGGAGTCGTAATAGGTAATATTCTTCTTTCTAAAGTCTACAACCTGGGAATTAAAAAAAAAAAAAAATCTGTGTTTATAAGTGAAGAAAACTGGTTTCTCAGCTTTTTCCTTCCCTGGAATTTGGAACCTTCTGCCAGATTTCCTATGATATCATGACAAGTTTGATGGATGCTTAGCATTATACCACGCTTAATCTGCAGAGGAGAGAAGAACAGGGGGATTATTTACTCAGAACTACGATGGGGGCTAATTGACTGGTGGCTCCAGTAATTGCCCTGAAACCTTTTTCTAGTATTCAGGTTCTCCATCTCCACTGTGGGTAACAGTGAAGACACAACATGCTCTTCAGAGAACGTAAGTTGAGTGAGATAATTTCCATACATTTTCTGAAAGATGGTAAAAGAGTCTAGGTTTTGTTTCTTTACTTGGAGAATTTCCTTTTGGCTTATGCTTTTCAAAGGTAACTCAAAACAGACTGTGAAATACTTTTTATACTTTTATTAATATATTAAGCTCATGTATCCATGTTCTCAGAGTCATAAAAAATATTAAATAACCAAGTATGCAAGACAAGTCATGATTAGGCAGAAAATAACAGTCATAGAATCTGAGTTGGCAGCATCATTAAGAAGTCACTTTTACTCCCCATGCCTTGCCTTTAGCCTGCTTTGACTTATAACTCCCTTTTTAAATATTTCCAGAAAAGGAAAACTCCACAGCTTTCTTCCAAGTCTAAGTATCTCCCACTCTTGACAGGGAGTTCACTGATCTATCCAATTTTTAGACAACTAAATGCTACTTTTTCTGTCAGTCATCTAGTGAAAATGTAGAACTAATATTCACTACTCTCTGTGTATTCTATAATTACATAGATTTCTTTTAAATTTTATCAGTAATAAAAGAGGCACTCACAGCAAGACACCAGTGCACTCCCAGGTGAATGGGCACCAAAAGAATGTCAACAGAAAAGACATCCACTTTCTTGGTCCAACGTTTCACTGCTTGATAACCAGCCGTTTTTAACTTAGTGAAAAAAAAGGTATTAAATGCATGCACACTTGGCAATCCCTTCTCTTTACTTCGCTCCATCAGCATATTCATGTAGAAATTGATGATCTGTGGGAAGAAAGTATATGTATTAAAATAGATACTCCAGACTTTCAAAATAGTTGTGTTGTAAGAAGGAAACACAGTTGCTATATTGCACAGCATAGGTTAGTTTCCTAATCAATTCAATTATGACTTCAACACTCAACAGCCTCATGTCCCTATATCAAATTCTGACTAGAAGGGAGGAAGGTGTTGAGGTGGTTATCAACAGTGAAAACAGAAAAAGCTGATGTGTGTGTGTGTGTGTGTGTGTGTACACACACACACACACACACACGTGTATATATATGGGTCCGGATACATATGGGAAGATGTTGGCCAGACTTGTAGAAGACTGAAGATCAGGCTTAAAAAACTGGAAAATGAGGAGGAAGGGGTGGTACAAGGTGAGACTCAGAGAAAAGGAAAGGAAGGAGTACAAGCAGTTTAATGAGGTACACACTAGCAGTTCCTTTAATCTATCGGGACTGTGCGAGTAATTTAAATAAATCCTGAGCTCAGAGTCTAGGGCTAATAAAGCTAAGATCAGTAGTTCAATCCTTCTATGTAGGTCTCCTGATTCTGCACAAAGATAGAAAATTCTGCTCCATGACTAAGGATTGCATTTTCAGCCTAACAAGCCACTTAGCAGAAGCAAACTGTTTTGGCCTCAAGTAGAACTGAGTGACAGAATAAACCATCAACTATACTGGAAAAACATCTCTAAACTGGTAGTAGCTCAGCAATGTCACCTTTACAGAGGCAGACATGGATATAGTATAACCTACATTACATGAGACCTGAAAGTAAAATGACAAACATGAAGAGTAAAGTCCCCCCCAGAATCTATATGGTTTTAGCTGCCTCGTTTTTGTTGATTTCACTTATGCCTTCAATATCAAGTACAAGTGAAAGAAATTAAAATGCTTGATACAGGAGATATGTTAATGAAACAATGTGTTCTCTAACAATGACTATGTCGTCCATGGTTCCTTTAAGTCCAGGACTCCTTGGTACCAAAGCTTGAAAGTTACTGTGCCGGAAGTTACTGCATACTTACTTTATGTGGCCAGCTGAGGTCAGGCCAGTGTCTGTCAACTGCAAGAAATGAATGGGCTAACTGATCCAAAGCTTGGAAATATGACTAAGAAAACAGGCACATTTTTCAGAATGCTTTTTGGGGAATGGGAAAACACCACCGTCCTTTGACAAATATTTACACACTAGAATGCCAGAGCAGTGAGCTACTGCCCAATAGTAAGCACCTACATACTGGGGAGGCAGCAGGGAACACTGCCAGGAACACACCAGAGCATGGTCTAGACCAGAGAAAGGGCCTATAGATGAGGATGCCTAAGCAGTTGCAGGGAAACCACATTCACCATGAAGCAGAGCTCTGAGGGTGGTGGAAGGGAGAGCCAGGACTGAAGAAAGACACTGTTCTTCCTGCATCTCTGAAGACGGAACAACAGGCCCAGAAGACTCAGGTTGTGGTTAAATCTCTGCTGAGTGATGCCCAACAGGTAACTGGAGCTCAGTTATTTACAATAATGATAATGAATTATGACACAATTAGGATCACAGACTTCTCCAATCCAGGTTTTTAATCTAACCCTGCCCCCGAAGATAATGGTGCTAAAGGATGCTTCTCGGCTTGTGAAGGCAGCCAGGAGTGCAGGAGGATCCAGCAGGAAGGGACTGATTCCTCTGGCATTCTATCCCACAATATTAGCCATGCTATGAGGCTAAATAAACCCTTCAATCCAGGGGGTGAAGTGAACAGGCAGACAACCTGTCAGTCACTGTAAGCCAAACCCTCCAAGGGGGCAAACAAGTTATATATTACAACAGGCAACAAGGACTTAGGACAGAAGTAGAAGAAATCAGAGAGAGATAAGGATAGCCAAGCACATGAAAGCCACGGAGATATATCTCCCCCAGGTGCCCATCAGAGGGGTATACCACCTTTGGGATCGTCACCCTGAAGTGAAAAGGATGACATAAATGAGTGTCATGCTACACACGACTATCCTATTTTTCATGAGGAAAGATTGCCAGAAACCAATTAAGTTTAGCTGGACCTACAGAGACCGAGTTGTTTGGCTTCTTATTTCATTTTGTTATTTTGAGAAAGTGGACCTATAAAGCTAAAGACCAAGCCAGCTGAACAGGAACAGAGACCTAGTGATCAGGACACCACACTAAGAATCCCTCTTCCACTGCTTCAGTTCTGCCTCCAACCAAGGTTTCTCCACTGAGAGGGAAATAGCTTCCTCCAAAGTCAGCTCATTAATTAGCTCTATGGAGTGGTCTGGGTTCTTTTTCATTTCTACTGTATCTCAGTAGGAGGGAGTTTAGTGGCTTCAATGTTCTCTCCCATTAACTGAGGACATGTAATCTGACATCTGAGGCAGAATTTAGATCCGAGTTTTTCTCCTCAGCTTTTCAGCTCCTACTCTATACAAATGAGGAAAATTGCCGTAGTTCAGCCAAGACACAATCATACCAAAAAAACAAGCTAGGAGTTAGGAGAACAAAAAGAATCCTACACGTCATCTCACAGAGGGCTGAAGATAAAGGAAAAAGAAATGAGAGAAGGGATCACAGTGCTTAAGATGAAAGAGGAGCAGTGATGGTCAGAGCATTTGCTTGTATTTTGTGAAGACAAGGGTCCCTCCCCTTCCATGGTGAGAGCCTTTCTGCACACAGGACTCTCTTAGCTTCAGAAGATCTTCAATTCCCTTTGGAATAGGGGGCTAAGAGTAATAAGTCAGCCCTGTGCCTACTGTTTGTCTTGCACTTGTCACTCTTTTGGGGGCCCACACTTGCCTCTGCTTGCTGCAGCTCCTGGTGCCTGAAGAGCTGCCCTTCCTGCAGCTTTGGCCATGAGTGCCTACTTGTCTATGCAGCCCTGTCTGGGGGTGGAATGGTTGTTTATAGTGTCTTATTCCTTTGTGATTTTATTTGAAGAGCTGCCAGGTTGAAGCTGAAAAAAGCTTCTCTTTAAAGAAAAGCCTACCATGTTTTCAAACTAAGGACTCAATCCTTTTCCTGTATGTTACCACAATGACATAAACGACTGTTATTTGTATCCTCCTTCTCACGCAGTAAACCAGCCAAACTATTGTTTTCTCATGCATATAGAAGTAAAACATTTCACAATACAATCCTGACTTTAACCCTTTCCAATTTCACACTTTGAACCCTTATAATTGACCTAGGAAATAAATGTTCTAAAAGTCCTGAGCATGACAGTGCTCCTGAGCAGAGACCAAGATAACTTTCAGGGGGAAAAAAAGCTGTTTTCCTATTTTACCCCTCCAGATTTTCCCCTCTACATACTCATTCTGAATTATTTTTTTTAAAGATTTAATTGTATTTATTTTTGGCTGTGTTGGGTTTTCGTTGCTGCGCACAGGCTTTCTCTAGTTGTGGTAAGTGGGGGCTACTCTTCCTTGTGGTGCGTGGGCTACTTGCGGTGGCTTCTCTTGTGGAGCACAGGCTCTAGGCGCGCGGGCTTCAGTTGTTGCGGCACGTGGGCTCAGTAGTTGTGGCACGCAGGCCCTAGAGCACAGGCTCAGTAGTTGTGGCACACAGGCTTAGTTGCTCTGGGGCATGTGGGATCTTCCTGGACCAGGGCTCGAACCCGTGTCCCCTGCACTGGCAGGCGGATTCTTAGCCACTGCGCCACTGGGGAAGTCTCCCTCATTCTGATTTTTAAATTAGACTTATCCTTGTCAACCAGAAAACCCGAAAGACTAACCAAGCAACAACCCCTGAATATTATGAGTCAGAAGGTCACTCACTCCTAAAAAGATCTAATCTAATAATATTATAGAAACCAAGAAGGCAGACTTCAGGTAAGCTCTATGTTACTGCATCCTTCACTGTGTCCAGGATTTTTCTCACATGCAAATTCAAGTAACAAATTATTAGAATTACTGCCAAGGTTTTAGAGAAAGAGAGGCAGGCAACATCTATTTTTATGGAGTCATGACAACTGTAATTATTCTCCCTGTGACCTCACATAAATCCCTGGTTTATCAATAGGACTAGTTCTACTAAGAAACACTTTAAAGAGGTAAAAACTATAATGACGTGAAATCTTCCCATGAGTCATGTTAGAAACACTATAACTTCCATTCTGGTCATTTTATTCCACATGTTAGAGTGCATAGCATATCGTAGACCCCATCATATTCACTTAACTAACTTATCTCATTTTGTCTGATTTTTTCCCCTTCTTACGCAGTTTTTATTTCCTAAGGAAAACCTACTCCCTGTGCTAGGTTTGTCTAGTTGGGCTTAATGTTTGGCAAGATGCTTCCCCTCTTACCAAGCATCACTTAGATTTAACTTCTCCTTGGAAACAGTTAATTATTGAGAGAGAGGTGTTGAAATCTTCAACAGTAATTATAAATTTGTCTATTTCCCCTTCCAATTTTCTCAGTTTTTACTTCATCTATTTTGAAGTTCTGTTAGGTGTGTACATATCTAGGTTGTTAATCCTCTTGAGGAACTTACCCCTTTACAATTATGAAAAGTCTATCACTGGTAATATGACTTGCTCTGAAATCTACTTGGTGTGATATTAATATAGTTACTTCATCTTTCCTTTGTTTAGTGTTGGCACGGTATATTTTTTCCATCCTTTTACTTTTAACCTATATGTGTCTTCATATTTAAAACAGGTTTCCTGTAGACATATTTTTTAACCTAATCTGACAATCTCTGCCTTTTAACAGGATGTTTATACTGTCCAATATGGTAGCTACTAGCCAAATGTGACTCTTGAGCACTTGAAATATGACTAATGCAAATTGTGTTTTAAGTATAAAATACACACATTTTAAATAGAAGGTAAAATATCTCATTATTTTCAGATTTATTACATGCCAAAATAACATATTTTGGATATACTGGGTTAAATAAAATATATTATAATATTAGTTTTACCTGTTTCTTTTTACTTTTTTTTTAATGTGACTACTAGAAAACTTAAAATTACATAGATGGCTCACAT